CATCCGCTGTACGTAGACGTGAACAGCCGAAGAGCGAAAATGCGACAATACTTACGAGAAGAGGCCTGTCGCAAGATCCGAGAAAAAATTCAAACAGTGTATGAAAGACTAGATGACGAAAAGGAGAAGTTTTATGCAGAAAAGGAAAAACAGCTGGCAGAGATTCGGAAAGACTTGTTAGAGTACAATATTAATGATTATGAAGTATTAGAAAATGTGAAAGTGCTAAGACAACAAAGGGTTACGGAAAGACTTAACAAACCACCACCAAAACCGAACACTTTTAAGTGGATCCAGGTGGACAAAGATGCAAAAAAGGCTCAAAGTCGGGAAAAAGAGGCACACAGACAAGATATGATCAGAAAGGGAGAGGAGAGACTGAAGGAAATGGGGGAAGAATTAAATTAGTCTGGCAAAATTTGTGAAATTATTAAATAATAAAAAGGGATTTAATAAATATATATGTAAAATACAAATTTTATGTATTTTTAAATTGAGACACTTCTGGTGTACTACAAGTACAATGATATCCCTTAAATCCCATATTTTCATCATTGGATAGTGTGTTGACATTTGCTCAAAAAGCCTGTTTTTGTTGATTAAAAATAAACTGGGAATAAGAATGTATGATTTATTAAATCAAGATGTAAGGCAGTCTGTAGCAAGAGTTAAAAGTTTCTCAAATCCTCATCAAACTTCAAGATCAAGAGATAAAAAATGTTATCTAAAGAAACGACTGGTCTCAATAAAGTATGAAAGCCAAAGCATGTAATACTCAAGAGATATGGCTAATGTTAATGCTTTTTAAAAGTATGTCAAATTTAAGATCAAGATAAGAGTAAAATATAATGGTACTTGGGGAACTTGTCACAAGAAATACACATGTGAAATGTAAAAGCTCCAGCAATAACTGTTCAAAAGCTATAGGCAATGCTCAAGGTTTTTGAAAGTAGGGCAAACTACAGTGCAAGGTTAAAAGTTCAAAATTTTGGATAAAAAAAACCCTGTCAAATATGAAGGTCCTGTATCTGAATGTTCAGATAGTATGGCCATGGTTAAATTTTTTTAATAATGGGTAAAAACTCTAAGGTCATGGTCTAGGAAAGGGTTTGTTGTGATAAATGCTCATGGGAAATATGAAAGCATCAGTAACAACAGTTCAAATGGTACTGATATGGTTAAAGATTGGTAATTTTTGCAAAAGTGGGTCAAATTCCGAGGTCAAGATCAAATAAGTTGCTACCCAAAGAAAGATCTTTTCACAAGAAATATAAAGGTGAAAATATGGAAACCATAGCTGCAACCAATTAAATGTTATGGGCAAGGTTAAGATATTGCGGACAAACAGACGGACGGAAGAGCAAAGTTTATGTATCCCCAAATTATCGATTACGGGGATATAAATAAAATAGAATAATGAACTGAGTATATGTACATCTATATCAGAAATGTTTTCTTGTTTCGGTCGTATTATAAAATCTTAAGTACAATCGTGAACATGTGCATGTGATCGTACTCGGGCACATGGGGCAAGTCTAAAGCGATTTTGAATTTCACCACGAATATGGCACATGCATGATATGAGAGCTGTTACATGTAACTTAAATGCCAGTCAATTTTTGCCGATGTGACCAATGTCCCCCCCCCCCCTTGTTAACTTTTAGGTGGACCATTCGCTGCGATTGCAGACTCCATGGATTAGCCTAAATTAGGGTTAAAAACTTTAGACCATTTAGTAAATCAAGTTTGGAAAATTTTAGCAAAAGTGGGTAAAACTCTAAGGTCGAGGTCAAACATGAAAGGTCTTGTCACAAGAAATAGACTTGTCAGATATGAAAGCCACAGCTTAAACCAAGCAAACGTAATGGTCAAGGTTAAAGTTCTTGCAGACAAACAGCAGAAATGCAGGGCAAAATCTACATATCCCCCAAATCTTGGATTACGGGTAATGAAAAGGGGGGTTTAGAATTCTGTGAATCTTTTTCAGATACATGTACTTTATAGTTTTCTTTTTCATGAAAAAAAAATGTGATTTGGAAGATGCACAATGAAGATAGGTCGAGTTTAACTTTTAGAATCTTCAGTGAAGAAATCGAGCCCCGGGATCATGAAACATCTTAAGTCAAACTCGTTATGTTGTACTAATATTGCAGAAGTTAAGCGGGCAAAACTTTCAACTATTGTACAAATATTCAGTTGCTTTTAAAGTTAGTCTTTAATTCAATAATTAATGAACATTTCACAGGAGATAAAAAAAAATTGACTTGAGTTATGGTCTAGGGCCAGATTTATTATCCAATTCAACAACAGCAACAACAAAACATTATCCATGTGCATGTAGATCAATGCCATCATTACAAGAAAACTCTCTGTGAAATCATTTATTATGATGCTCGTATCTTAAAATTGTATAAAAATTCCAAAAAAATTAATGTTTATGATCATAGAGTAGTCTTTAATTGTGTTGATTTCACGTAATTCCTGGGCACATAGCCATACTGATTCGTTTGAGGGTAGAACACCCACAGCCAATCTGTTCCTTGCTGATCTGCTCCGTTAGCGTAAATAAGTTCTCCCCGTTTTACATTCAGTCCTCCTCGGTTCTCATCATTATAATTGTACATCATCACGAGTTCGGAGCCCGACTTGCTGAATGATTGGAGGTTCCCATTAGTCGTGTTTCTTTCATCGTGTGATGACCCTAATTGGATATTGCTGTAATGTACTAAGGGATTGGATTGGTTAGTTGTTCCTGCATTAGCGTCATTGATATGTGCTAAGGAATTCGATTGGTTAGTTATCGCTGCATTTGGTGAATTGCTGATGTCCATACCAGGGTGTTCATTCTTAGCTACACTGTAAGTTCCCGATGACAAATTTTGGTATGAATTGTATTTATTGACACTCTCTTCACTTTGTTTATTTCTCTTGTACAGATTTTGATCAGATAAAGAAAGTAACGTATTTTTAGTAATATTGGTGCTGGAATTGGCGTAAACGCTGGTACCATAAGCTGATTTTGAACGCTCATTCTCGTAACCAACAGAGGTAGCTGGTGAAGCAGACCGCGCACGCTGTCGCGTGTTCTGGTTGGCTGTTTCTGAGTAGACAGGAAGTGAATTTGGAGAGGGTATTCGATTTGTTACTCTTTGAGAATAGGGTCTGTCATACACAATCAAAGGTGGTGAATGAGTGGAATCATCCCCTTGATAAATTGTTTCTGAATTTCTAGAAACTCTTGAAGGGGAGCTGGACCTTTTGACCCCGGATGATGTTGCCAATGGGGACCTTAAAACCGAAAATTTGTCGGCATTCTGTTTGTTTGCTGAGTTTGACCGATGTTGTTCTTTCTGTGTGTCCGAGTAATTTGACTCTTGGTCGAGTTCGTTGTAACGGCTTCTTAACACCGCAGTTCGTAGGGGATTTCGTTGAGGTAGGGCTGGAGGTTCGCTTGACTGGGAATACCGTCTTGGCGAAAGATTAGAAAGGAGTGGTTGACGTATTGTCGGAGTGCTTGTTCGCTTCTGTTTATTCTGAAGTGCCAGCATTTTTTCTGAAATAAAATATTAGAGTATTTAAGTTTTACAAGTAATACCGGTAGAAAACAAGACATCACAATAGAATACAAGAAAAGATTAGAAATAAAGTCATATAACCTACATGTATTTTGTTTGCATACATGTATTTAATTATTTGATTAATATTTCGATTATTAATTTTACCTTGAGCTTTGAGTGGTTCCACTGGACATATGTAGGACTTGGGTACAAATCCTTCTTCCCCGTTCCCTCTACGGACCCAGGACCAGTCTGGATCTTCTATGTTCAGAACATCGAGAAGTTCGGCCCGTTCCACGGATACATCGTTCTCATCGAGAGCCGTGAAGTCAAACAGCACAATGAAGTGTCCATGAGAGGTCTTCCGGAATGGCCTTACTTCTGGTGTTACGGTGACATTCTGGTAGTCTACTACATTTAATGGGTTAAGAGCAGCAGAGTTTTGCGCATTTTCTGCAATGTCATTTACATAATCATCTGTACATGAAAAGAAAGAATCCGAGTCGAAAGAATCAAAAGATTTGTATTCGCCGGAATTCCACGGCAAGTCTTTGCTTTTAGGTTTGGACTGTATGCTAGGTGAGTTGGATACTCCCAAACAATACGATTCCGGGATGAACCCTTCCCGTCCATCCACTGTGATGACATAGGACCAGTCTTTGTCTTTATAAAGCTGGAATACTTCTTGTCCTCGTTTGACCTCCATCTCTCTCTCAGCCTGTGGCGTAAAATCCTGCAGGACCACCATTTTGGCATTGGGAGGTAGTCCGTGCTGTTTCTCCAAACCGACTCGGACAAGGGTATCCACACTGTCGCTCCCCGTAATTCTACCGAATATTGGGGACGATGCCACTGTAAAGAGGAAGTCGTAGAGCCAATATACATTTGATTAAGTGTACAGTGTGTGTAGCAATATTGGATTTTAAATTTGTATGGGTATCTCAATATGCAACATACATGACATAGGGATGGAAAATAAAATGTGGAAAAGGCCATTAGTCACACCTTGTTAGTTCGATCTCGTATAAATTTACTACTAAGTGCTGTTTGCTCACACTTTGTGTACATCCTTATTTAATCGTTGTATGATAATGAACATAAATGGACAGGTAGAGCTTTTAAAAGGGGTGTTCAAGGTATCTTTCAATTATGTCATATATAAAGTCATTAAAGGAAGGCGTTTTTAAAGAAGACACATTATCTGATAGTAAGGAAATATGAAGACAAGTTCTCCAAGTTCTGTTGAGAAATTTCATTACCTTTCCTTTTCTTCTCTTTAGTGCCTCGACCAACTCGACTTGGACACAGAAAAGCCATTGCTGATATAATGTATATCACTTTAAAATCGCTCTTAAACTTCACACTGTGCAAACTAAAGACACTTGACTATAGACTAAAATTGAATCCATGCGTTCACAATTCCATGATAAAATTTTAGCTGTCTCAAAATTGCAAATTAACTCGTGTCCATCCTATTCCAAGATCGAAGTTTAAGTGGAATTCTTAATCACATTCATTGAGGTCTACACTGCAGTGTATGTGACGAATTTAGTAACCTGGTGAAGTCTTGAAATGATAAATTAATCGAATTTGAAAGTTTCCATTAAACACTCTCTATGTATCATATTAGTTCAATACCATCCTCTCTGATAAATTGTTATTTTTTAATGTTCTCCTCTGCAAACACACAATACAAGAATTTCAAATAAATTCCAAAATAAAATAAACAAACCGCTGCTATTGTATTGAAACAGCTTTTGCAATAAGACAAAGCCATTTAAACGCCCCTTTTAGCACTGAATAGTTTAAAATTTCTGTAATCTATTATTTGGAAACAATGAATGGGTCCGGTATAGCGCATGATCTGATTACTGAAGTCCGCGCTTATTCCCCGAGTATTTACTGTTGCTATTGTATACCCCCGCCAGAATATACTCATTACTGTCGTATAGATTGAATAGTTATGTCACCTTGACGGTGCGAATCAAAAACTGGATACAAAGTAGCGCTGATTTCAATCGTTTTGTTATAATTTAAAGTCAGGTTTCTGAATTCAAAGTTAATTTAAGCAAATTTATGTTAATTCTCGCGGATTGGGTTTCTAATAGCATTATGAATGAAAATGTTCCATTATGAAAATTGTCAAATCTTTTGCTAGATCTCGAAATTGATCGGTCTAGCAAAACTGTTCTTGTATACATAATTATGATTACATTATATGTATAACAGTCGTTTTAAATACAATTACATCTTTCACATTGTAATTCTAGAATATTTTGAACAGTTTCAAAGTTTTCACTGTTAAATCAAAATGAAAAAAAAAACTGCACACTTAAGGAGGGATAAACCAGCATAGTTTACATGTACATGAGATGTCTTTTATAAATATACAGGCTGACCAGAATCAAGAAAATTATCATCCTGTAAGATGAAAATATGCAAGGAACAATGCGATGAAATTCATGCTATTTGTACTGTGAGATGATTCATTAAGTGAAATAGTAATGGTACAGTGGATGACGACCTTCAACAGAGAAAGTAATACGAGGGTAACTCAGTAAATCATGCAATTTAGAGGACATGCAGATCACTAAATACATGTATTTGCAATACCTTATTTTCGCGAGATAGTCATTGACTCTTGATTAGCGAGACAAAATTTTCATGAATTGTGGTTATTGCTCTATATAATCTACTACATGGATACTATTATAAGCGAGAATTAAATTAATTTTTCGCGAGCACATTGTCCATCTCGCGTAAAATAAAAGATATTACTGCGCGGGGTCTATCGGTTTGATGCATGTGTCCTGTTCTACAGAGATGCATGTGATGCAAAACCCAGTGTGAACTACATGTATTTGCAATACCATTATTTTGTTGCTCACCTGAGATAGTCATTGACTCTTGATTAGCGAGACAAAATTTTCATGAATTGTGGTTATTGCTCTATATAATCTTTTCAGTATATGGATACTATTATAAGAACCACTGAAATTAAATTAATTTTTCGCAAGCACATTTGTCCAAGGGGTAATTTAAATTTTGAAAAGATATTACTGCGCGGGGTCTACGGGGAGATTGATGCAAAAATGTGTCCTGGTCATTAAAAAATCTTCTTCTCAAGAACCACTTGGCCCCCCCCCCCCCCCCCCCCCCGATAGAAAAGCCCCGGGGCTTATTGGACATTTTTTTCACAAATTATATTTATTACAATTATTCATCATGTGTACAATATCAAAAAATTACATCAAAATATATAGGAAAATAAAAATCGCTCCACAAAAAAAATACCCCACTTATACATTATAAGAGAGAAAGGTATGTTCAACTCCCGTTTGTTTTTACATAAAGATACATAGGTAAAATCTTTGAAAATCTTCTACCCAAGAACCACTGGGCCAGAAAAGCTAAACTTATGTGGAAGCAACCCAGGGTAGTGTAGATTCTATATTGTTAAAGTCCCCCCCCCCCCCCCGGGGCCATAATGGGGAATTATTGGAAATTTTTTTCACAAAATATATTTATTAAACTTATTAATGTATAGTGGGAAAAGTATTTTTTTTGTGGAAGCATTATTTTGGGGTTTTGTAGATTTTAAATGGTTCTATATCATGACACATGATGAATACAATGTAATAAATATACATTTGTGAAAAAAATGCATCCTATGGTAGTATAGATTTCAAATCGTTTAAATTATGATCAGTGGGGTAAGGTGGGGTCATAATACCTGTGCTACAAGATGGAAATCTGGACAAAACCCAGTGTGAACTTTATTTTCCAGTATTTCAATCTCCATTATCCAATTGTTTTATTTATATAATTAACTCTTTTTATATTTTGTTGAGGTAATCAAAGAATTTGACAAATTAAAATTAAATGCTATAATAATCCGCTTAAGCTGCCCCCACCTTCCCCCGGTGATATCACAGTCATTAATCTTCACTTCAACAAAGAAAACATTTTGTTGTTTAATTAATGAGATATTCAGATAAATCTGCGATTAATATCCAGTAAAAAGTAGACTTTAAAAAAGTTGTCCACTTTTACAGATGATAGTATACATGTATATAACATCAAAACGAGAATCCATGTATTAAACTTTATTCATCTTCATATTTTCAAATGGGAATTTTTCACATCATCAAACTCATAGGTACTGTATATATATTCAAAAAAAGATTTACAACTTTTATTAAAATTAAACAATTTTACCCTTAAAAAAAGACCTTTTAAACAATTATAAATTAATTTCAGCTCATATTACAATTGTATATGAAAATGGAGAATGGGAGTTCGAATTCTTTAGAAAGAAAGATATCAAAGAATTTTTTTTTTATACTTTTGTGTGTCAAAAACCAAAAGACTCATTCAATTAAGTACATGTGCATCATGTTCATTCCAATCCATAATGGCGCCTGTGTCTATCTGCTGCCTCGGGATCCACATGCGTGTTAAAGGGTGGACGCATAGCTCGATGCTTGACAATATCGCGGTCCCAGTTCAAGGTTCTGGGAAATCTAGGCACCACATTGTACGCAGCAAATTTGGAATGGATTTTTTTCTTGGAGGCACCGTGGACAACAGTAATCTTGACATCAGCATCCGCGGGACAACTATTTCTCTCATCCTTCACGGTCACCATAAGTTCTCCGTTAAGGTACCTCGCCTCGGCTTTCAGCACTACCGGAACACGGTTTTTGCCGATCTCTGGTTGACGCTTATTATCAATTGTAAGGATGTCTGGCAAGTGTTTAGGCTTAGGTTTTCGAACCTTCTCTCTCTGTATCGGACGCTTTCTTTTGTCCTCCTCTGTAGATGTTGTTTCTTTGGACTCAGTGACGAAGGTGTATGTAGAATTATCCAAAGTTTGACCATCAGAGGGTGACAATACCTCAGGTGTTTCTTCACTGAAGTACAGGCTTGAGGGGCCAATATCAGAACTCTGAGACGCTTTGTCAGTGTGTATTTTAGATATTGAAACGATAGACTCATCTGAATCATCGTACGAATAGGAATCTGTGTTTTGCATTGGCTTCACTTTATTGACTGGCTTTGTCATCTTTGGCATTGGTGTATCCCTGGACCTTGGTCCTTTATAACCCTCTTTACTGCTGCGCTTTTGAGAATTATTATTTCTGGGTAGTGGGGGCAAACTCAGCTCCTTAGGCACTTGAGATTTGATTTCATTACTCTTTTCCTCCTGCCTTGGTTCATCCTTGTTGCCAAAGTTCAACTGGCACATTGTCCCCTTGATACCATCTTCATAAACCGGGCTTGCATTTCTCGATTTCAATTCCGAAATTACTAAAGCTACTTCCTTGACCTGACTGCACATTTCGATTCGTTCAGTATTCTGTGGAGGTACGGTACATCCAGACTTACTGATTGACAAATTAACAGATTTTCTCTCAAAAGTAGCACCGAGACCGAGCATACTCAAGTCTGAAGACCGGCAATTATCTCCTGGAATTTCCTTTTCCTTGGTGGATTGTGCTTTTGAATAGTCTTCGATTATTTCCCTTACTTCCTCTTTATCACATGGCGAGCTTTCTGCTAACGATTCTTTGCTACCATTAAAGATTACAACACAGTCAGTCACTTTTTCACTTTCGACTTTGCTTTCGTGGTAAACGATGTTGAAATATTTTTTACCATTCGCACTTGCCATACTCTCTGTCTTTTTTACCTTTGATTCGGCGTGTTTCATGTTGTCCTGTTGTTGTTGTTGACGAGAAGAATGTATTGTGACGTCATAGCATTGTATATTGTTACGTCACAGAGTACATTGTATACATAATAGCAGAAAACAAGTAAAATATAAAGAATCGTATATTATAGTTGTAATTAAGATAACATACCGGTATTTGCGCAGCCATATTCTTAAATTCATAAACTTTGATTATGAATGATAGTTAATCGGTTAGGCACATCGAAAATATGGCGTCATACAGAAATTGCGTCAACCATATATAGGTCTACTTCAGACAATGAATTTAAAAAATATACATGTACGGTTTCTAAAAAGAGAAAGGGAGGTTGGTGTAACGTTATTCTCTTTAAAGAAGTGGACAGGCTCAGACTTTCGCGTAGCAGGCGAAAGGTCCACTTCTCTATTGCTAGAGGAATAGTGTAACGTAAGCAAAGCATCCCTTTAAATTCGCAATGTGCGATGGTTCTCGAATATTTCTGTGTATATCAAAATACTTCTAACCATGTGTTCCTGACATGTTTTCTTACTACTTTCATATAGAAGGTTTTATGACACGTCCGAAGCCCGTTGGACCGAATTGTCTTGACAATGAAGGTATAAACAGGCGAAATTTTGTATGGTCTTAATTTCAGTCTTGGGAGGGTTACTAACAGCGGTTTTTGAGAATGTTTTATTGTGGAGGTAGTGAAGGAACATACACTTTAGAATATTTTACGATGACATCTTAAATATATGGAGAAATAAATTGAGTAATAGCGCACATTTTTGTGAGCAATAACAAATATACATTTTTTTCAATGGATGGCACTGTGGCTCTCTGGTCGTCCATCCTAATTTTTTCAGACCAGCGAGCTAAAGATCTGAAGCTAACAAAGAGCATTTTCATAAATTAAGGCAGCATTCCACATTGTTTTTGATGCAAATTATGTCACTTCCGTTTCACGCCGAGGAAACCCTAACAAACCCAATACAATGTAACACAGGCACATTCTACATGTATATTCTCTACAACTCTGTTATTATTATATAACATAAATTTCAATGGAGCTATTGATACTTATTTTAGTTTTAAAATTAATAACACATAAATTTAAAATAACTGATTTTAAAGGTTACCTAATCAAAAAATTGAAACAACTTTGTCTAGCAGTACATTAAACCATATTAGCTTACAATTCAATAAAGGTAGATTAAAAAAAAATAAATGAACCCTTCTCTTTTTTAAAAACAATTTATTATGGGAACTGTGTAATAAAAATATTTTTTTTCTATTCTTGAGCATGTACCAGTGATATTACATGCATGTACATAATAAAAAGAATGTATGCTACATATATTATTGTAAATACCGTAATCAAATGAAAACAATATAGTATACTGTATGTACAAAACATAGATGTACCAAAACAAAGAGAGACAATACAATAATAAAAAAAAATCATTGTCCATAAATTTGTTATTATATATTATATGACATGTACAGTAATGTGCTTCAAGATATCCTTTTTCAATAGAATGAATGTACATATGTGCATCACCCTCTAAAATACTGTTATAAATTACCGGAATGTACTTATCAAGAGTATTTAAAAAATATTTAAATCACAAATGACACATCATTTTGTTTAATCACATACATTCATATGATAATCAAGATTGCAAAGTTTGAAGAAATTAACAGTGGAGACAAATGTAAACTAACAACTAACAGTCTTTTTCATAAAACAAAATAATATTCTGTTACATTGACAGTCAAATTGTAGCTCGATCAAGTCTCATAAATTGCACAACATCATTGAAAAATTAAGAGTACTCCAGCACTTCTGGATTATAACAAGAACAATGAAAGTTTAAAACAAGATTGGTAAATATCAAAATAAATACATGACCTGCATGCAGATATCAAATTCATTAAACACAGTCATCAAAATTAAGCATATTGTCAAAACACATTTGCACCCTTTATGTACATACATTTATGTAATGATATAAGATTATGAGAATTCAAAGACTTAAAATAAATGAACAGTTAAATATAACAAATTAAATATTTTTTTATCCATTTTCATAATTATAATTCACACATACTAGTAAAACATTCTTTTAAATTAAAATCAATTTACAGAATTGCAAAGTTTTGAGCAAAAGAAAGGCATCCCTTTGTACAAACCAAAAAAAAAAAAAAGAAAAGTACATATACACACAGACACATAAGATAACAGTTTCAGTGAATGTCCACCCTAACAGTGCTGGGGAGGCGAATAGAGGACAGCCCTCCAAATACCAGTAACGCAGACACCATAATCATAGGAACAGAGCAGTGCACATCAACCAGCTCACCAAAGATCACATTCCCAAAAATGGCCGCCAGTCTACCTATACCTGTCTGTATACCCATTGCTGTAGACCTGTAAAATAGCACAAGAATATGATACTTATAGCACACCAAATTCACAAAAATATTTAAGAGTTGGGAATTGGAACTAAACATAGTTTCATTAAGTCTCTTTATGTTCTTAGTGTAGTCTACTTGCATGCAACATTATATTATAATCAGACAAAAACTGTATTTGGAGTAGCATTTTGAGAGAATTTCACAGAAATTTCTATTTTTAGTAACCAAGGCAATAATGTTCATCGAAGTCAAAAACTGATACACAGAATTGTGTATCTTAGTGTAGTCTACTTGTGTGCCAAGTTATACTGAAATCAGACCAAAACTGTTGGAGGAGTAGCATTTTGAAAGAATTTTACAGAAATTTGTATTTTTAGTAACCATGGCAACACCATTGAAATCAAAAACCGATACACAGAATTATGTATCTTAGTGTAATCTACTTGTGTGCCAAGTTATTTTGAAATCAGACCAAAACTAGAGGAGGAGTAGCATTTTGAAAGAATTTCACAAAAATTTCTAATTTTATTAACCATGGCAACACTGTTCATTGAAATAAAAAAACGATACACAGAATTATGTATCTTAGTGAAGTCTACTTGTGTGCCAAGTTATATTGAAATCAGACCAGAACTGTAGGTGGAGTAGCATTTTTAAAGAATTTCACAGAAATTTCTATTTTTAGTAACCACAGCAACAATATTCATTGTAATCAAAAACCGATATACAGAATTATGTATCTAAGTATAGTCTACTTGTGTGCCAAGTTATACTGAAATCAGACCAAAACTGTTGGAGGAGTAGCATTTTGAAAAATTGTTTACAGACAGACTGACAGACAGACAGATGGACAGACAGACGGCCGGACGCATTACTATCGCATAAGCTTTTCTGGTCTCTGACCAGTAGAGCTAAAAATGAGCTAAACATAGTTTCACAGTTAATAAACTAGGTTTATCTGTTGTAAACTATAGTTTACGGACTGTAAACTATAGTTAACAACGTTAATCTATATTTTACATTTGTAAGCCATAGTTAACGCGATAATCTATGTTTCAGAACCATAAACTATACTTAACACTGAAAACAATCATTTGCGATTGCAAAACATAGATTATCTGATAAATACAGTTTCATGATTTGTAAACTATGGTTAACAACTCTTAACTATAGTAAAAGATCTGATGAATATAGTTTCACGATTTGTGAAACTATGATTAACAATGCTTAACTATAGCTCACGATTGTAAATTATAGTTTGCAGATGTGAATCTATGTTTATCAACAAAATCTATTGTTAATGTATTATTACCAATAGGTAAACTTAGATTAGCATTTGTAAACTATTGTTAACAACCGTTAAATATTGTTTTACAGATGAAAACTATACTTAACGAATGTTAAGAATAGTTCACGGTTTGTATATTATAGTTTACAGTCAATAGACCTAGTTTATCAACTGTGAAACTATGATTAGCTCATTTTTGTGAATTTGGTGTGCCATAGATACTGTATCAATTAAAGCAGTTAGAAAAGTACCCGCATGCATGAATGATATAAAACATTAAGATATATACAATGCAATTAGAAACCATTAACATGAAATGTAAATAATGGGGGGAGGGGAGTAATGTTTCTGAATTTTTCATTCAAAAATCCCTCAAATCAATATACTTTGATCTGACAGCAAGGTATAGAATATACCTACCTCACATTAGTTGGGAACAGTTCTGTGGACAGTACATCTAGGGAGTTCCAGCCTATGGTTGACACAGCTCCAAATAGACAGGAGATTCCCAGATTCTCCCATTTATTTCTGACAAGTGGAATAAAGAACACACTCACTCCAGAACTCACCATACTACTGGCTGTAAAACACAAAATTATATTTTATGAAAGAAAGCCATCAATCATTAAGATATCAAAACTATATTGATGCATATTGTCAAAACCAAAAAAAAAAAACAGAGAAATGTGTGATGATCTTTAATGACCTTTAGATAAAAACATTTAGTTTCTTAAATCAGTTTTTAAATGTGTTAATACTTTTTTCACTAGTCTAGAATAAAAATCTTTTAGCGAGTTCAGGTCTGAACATGTGAACAGAATTAAACATACCTGGTACTGCTGAGCTCCAGATAATTTTTTACCCCAAAGTGTATTTACTCCCTGATTTTTTAATCAATGCAGATTTTGATTTTCAGCAAAATGATTGAAGACTATTGTGTTTATATATAAATGTTTTGACCTTTATTTTGAGCTTGTAATTGAAGTATGTGTTTTTGAAGAGGGAAAAAACTTCAAAGGTCAATTCCTGCATTTAATTAAATAAATTTTGGAAATACCAAAAAGACTTTATGCTAAGATTAGGAAGCATTCTTTTTTTGACATGATGGAAGATCATACAGTAGGTCAAGGTACCTTAGAGTTAGAGACACAGAAAACTTTTCCTTCATTGAAGATATCGTACCAAGAGTAAACTGAGAGAAAAGAATCTTCGTTAATGTGGCAAGTTAAAAGAGATGAAAAATTGGCTATGAACCCATAATAAAAAAAAAGTCATGCTTAATTGCATAGTCTTTCTTCATGGAAATTGATTTTAATCTAAACCTCTGATTCTTTCTCCCTATATGGAGATAGTCGTCATCATTACTAGAATGTTCCTGGTCACTAAAAGGCTTTTAAATATGTACATGTACTTCCTTTTGAGGAAAGTCAAACACTTAGTTAACCTCAATTCTTATCATTAAGTAAGTCATACCTGTGTTCTTCAACTTGTTGTACGCAGTACTTTCGTGGTGTAATGCGTATCTCTGATTGCTAATGCATAATTGTATGCTCTATTTTAATTTTAAATGCATATTTTGTAAAATTTAATGCGTATTTCTGCAAATACGCACCTTATCTGGAGCTCTGCATACTGTTTTCCATGATGTAAATTTAAAATTTTTCTAGAAGTTAAACCTTATCAAAGTTACTCTTCAACCTGAATACATGTACATTGAAATACTCCAGTCAAGTATTCACAGCATTAAATGACTTACATGGGTGATAAAATCTTGACTATTGACTAGTGTCATTATATCCCTGGTATATGACATTATAAATGCTTTTGTGATACTAAACTTCAAATGTACTTTGTGAATCCTTTTAAGCATATATAAAACTGGAGGGGGTGGGGGCATGGGTGGGGTGGGGGACATTGGTTACCTAAAAGGAATTTTCTCCCCAGCTGATCCATGAGAAAGATGGTCAGGAGATTCCCTGGCAGATTGGAGACGGCAGTCATAAATCCAGAGAAATAAATCCACTCTGATTCCAGGAAATCCGTGGAAGCATTAACGGTTTTATTAAGAGCTGTCACATGATGATCACATGGAGATCCCCCATACTTCTCCACCCGACTGAACAATTCAGGAAACCACATCCACAAGCCATAGTAGCTACACAGTAGAGAGATAGGAACTAAATATGTGGGTACATATACTATAAGAACAAAGGATCTTTGTGTAGCATAATAATATAGAGAAAATTTGTGTGCACAGGTAACCCAATAACTTTTGTTTCAAGATATTTATAAAAAAAATTTAATCTTAGTAATTACTGTATACAGGATTATTTTGGCCCAGTGTTTCTTCTCCCTTTCACACTTGCAAGCAATTTCGTCAATTTTAAATTTGTGCTCTCACAGTTCTATTTAATAAGATCTTTGAATTTGCCTACATGTGAGTACGGCAAATAGGACAGAATTTAAATGGGCAAAAATTCCCCTGTATACAGTAATTGCAATTAAAATCATGGGTGTTTCAGCGTACTGTGATATTTCTCTAATTGACTAAAGTGCCAAACATTGGTTATCCCCAAACACTCAAAAACAAAACTTTATTTCCATAAGATCAATGTTCTGAGATTTTTCTTTCACAAGACTCTATCAACCACATATTTTTTTACATGAGTGTAATACCTACTCAGACCTTATTCAAAAAAAAATTTCACTGTCATTATTAACCCCCACCCACTGAGACCCCTCACTACGACAAACCTACTTACCCAAAACTCAAGGAGAAGTTAATGATGAGCATAATGACAGATAGTCGGAGCAGTGGAGGCCTAAACAGCTCACCTGAGGTAGACATTAGCTGTAAAAAATAAACATTATGTCGTACAGTATCAGTGGATGCTTTTTCAAATTTATTAAGAATGCCATCAGACTAACTTACTTGAAGTCATTAGAAGTGTTTGCATATAAATTTCAGAGTCAAGACTAAGACAAGAATTTTCTGTGCACTTAGATAAATTAAAAGTTTCCACTTACATATATAAAGAGAATTGCTCTCTAATGCCTACATTTCTACAACAAATACATGTTCCAGGAATAAGATTCATGTTTAATCAGTAACTTACACTTTTGAGGTTTTTAGACATTCCTGCAGAACAGCCTGTAGAATGGCTGCTAGAGGTATGCGCTGGTTTGTAGTCTCGATCTAATACAACCGAGGTTACCTGAGAAAAACCAGTAACATTTGTCAAAATCAGTTATAGGGCTTACGCTGTCTGAGAAAGATTACAGTCTCTTGATTGTGAATGTAAAATATCAAAAATTTATACAATATCCTATACACAGAGTAATGCATTCTTACCTGATATGGTGATGACATTGGATTATTTTTCTTGTGTATAAACTTTAGTATAGCTAAAGCTTTCTTGTCCTCTCCAACCTAAATCAGCACAAGAAACTGATTACTGCACAAAATATTATACAGTCATGTAATAATTATATTCAGCATCTGTTCTCTGACTGAATTGAATTTCAAAAATTATTAATGACAATTTTTCAAAATGGAGGGGGAAAAATCAAATTTGAGCAAATTTAGATTAAGGAGGAACATTTTAGTTGAAATCATTATTAGAAATGAAAAAAAAAATTAAATAACATATAGTATTTTCTCCATCTAACAATTATTACTCTTTATTCATAACATTTGTTTGAATATTTCAACTCAAGAAACAACTATATAAAAATCTTTATGAACTGTCTTGGCTACTGAATGTAATTAATACATTATCTACACTTATCTGTTTTTAATTTACTTATTGCACAGTCTTTCATACTGAGTGTAGTTGATGCATTATCTGTTCTGTATACTAACAGTGAGTAGGAACTTTGGACTTTCAGGCATGAAGATGAAGAACACAGCAGAAGAAAGACTAGGAATGGTGCACAGGGCGACAAATATCCGCCAGCTATTGTACTTAAAGCTAGGACTGGTGTACCCTATATCTAGTGGAATAACTGACCATGCCAATCCTGTAACAGAGAGCAATTATGACATTACATGTACAATGTGCAAAATATAAGAAGCTATTATAAAAGAAAATATTTAATAAATATGTAAGAAATCTTCAAGCGCAGAACATAATTGTATATATTAGGTATAGTGTAGATCACTAAATTTTTGCGACAACTTATTTTCGCGAGATAGTCATTGACTCCTGATAAGCAAGACAAAATTTTCACATATTGTTATTCTTCTATATAATCGTAAGAAAAACTTTCACACACAAGAATGACATTTTTGAGAGCTCATTGTCTCACGTTTTAGTTCTCGAGAATAGAAAGTGATTTACAGTATTCATATTCACATGGCTAGGTTAAAAAATAATCCAATCCGAATTTTAAAGTTTGTGAATTTTGTCCTTTGTTTTACAATACCGACACAGGTAACATTAACTTGTTCGACACTAACCAGCAGCAATGATGTTGCCAAACATCCAGAATGTGGCTAAGGCACTGATCATTCTTCCTCGTCGGTCTTTTGGTTGGAATTCAGTGAAGTATGAAAATATCACAGGTATGCTTCCACCTACCCTATTAAAAAAAATAAATATATAAAAATATTCATAAGGCCTACTTTAAAACACTGTTTCTTTTTCCCTCTCCCTCCTAAAAGTGAAAAAAAATTGGTTGTTTTAAACCTGGAAAATTTTAATATCAATGTCAAATTTTCAAAATCTATTCTCCAAAATGCATAACTGTTTCCTGGAGGTTTAAAAAGTTTTGAGTAGAGCATTTTTAGCAAGTTGTTCAGGAGTGGGCAACAATTAGTTTCTAAAGAGTGCCTTAATTTTAACAAAGATGAAAATGAATAAAAAAAAAATGCCCTGTTCATTACATCTAATCTTTTTAGCATAAAATTTAGCCTGAAAGAAAGTCCTGAATAGTTTTAATTATTTAAGTTCCTATTTAAGTTAGTAAGTTTTATTGAATACAAATCAGCATACCCTATACCGCTAATGAATCTGGCTAACAGGAATAACCAGAAGACCTGAGATGTGCTGGAGACAAGTCCCCCGAGTCCATTCACAGTCAGCGAGCCTAACAAAATCGTACGACGACCGTGGTGATCCGCCAGCGAGCCCCAGAAGTAGCCCCCTATCATCATACCTAGTTAACACAATCACATGATATTACGAGGGGCATTTCAAAAGTTCTGGCAACTGTTTAATAAAAAGTTAACTGTTGTACAGAAATTATTGAGTTTAGAAAGACCAGAAAAATATACACATATAGTGACGTCACCTTATAATTTTTCTGATGTAATAACTCCGAAAATGACGTCAGAATATAGAATGTTTAGCGTACTGAAAAGTTGCGTTTTTATACACATGAGACGATCGTAAAAGTGCTGCCAAAGGCTTATTTGAAAAAATATTTCAAAGAAAATTTTAATCTGCAAAGAGGTAGAGTAGGACTATGATACTGTTTATCAGCAATTCCATTATTCATTGTATGGTTTGTTTACGAGCACGGTTTATGTCCGGTTATGCTATCATAAACATTCATTTAAGATTTTTATTTACATGATATGGTTGGATTTTCAGTCTTTTATATAGCTCTCCATTGTTTGAAATAAAACATGTTCTGTATGAAACTGAAGTATATTAATGCAGTTTTCAAAGAAATATATTTTGAGTAACAGGACTCTTACCGTTTACGAATAAAATGTATAAATCTTGTCCCCGACTTGATTCTGTGCCTATTTTTTCATACAAATTCAACTTAACAAAAAAATTCACTACTGCTTTTGACTTTTGAATCCAAAAAATGAATATAAGTTAGTCAGACATGTAAAGTCTTATTTATTTTCCAATTATTAAAATTTGCGAATATGTGGAGGTACGGTTGGGTTACAACTGTGCTGCCGCCATTTTGGATTTTATGACAAAATATGGGGCTCACTAAACTTAACTACTCTTAAGCCTTTCGATACCACAAATCTGGTTAAAACACCTGACGAATTTATACCATCGAATTTTGTAACACGATCGTCTATATTTCTTTGATTGCCAACATTGTCTTTTTCTCACATTTAGGTCTCTTTTACGCAAAAGTTTGAGCGATATTCGATAAAACCATGCTAAGTTTGACACTCGCTAAAACCATTTCATAAAATACCATATAATAGATTGTAGTCTATGTAAACATTCCACCAACTCGCATTTGCGTCCGTTAGCTTGCGTCCGGGTAATGAGCAAAAGTTGTCTTGAAAATTTTAATTTTATCAAATTGTGTCTTTTGTTACGTCATTTTTATGGTCAGTATGCTAAACATTCTATATTCTGACATCATTTTCGGAGTTATTACGTCATAAAAATTATAAAGTGACGTCACAATATGTATATATTTTTCTGATCTTTCCAATGATATCAAATTCGATAATTTCCATAAAACGGTTAATCTTTTATGAAACAGTTGCCAGAACTTTTGAAATGCCCCTCGTATGTACATTTTGATAAATTCTGAGATAAATTTATGTACATGTGTTTCAAAACAGAGAAATATTATGTGTGATTTAAAAAAAAAATTCTAGAGGTTTGTGGCTTTGTGCTAATTCAGTGATATTTCACCCAAATGATTTAGAATAAGCACTTACTTAGCATTTAGTTTCAATAACATGTGAGAAATACGTTACATGAATCAACTTTTTAAATATATTGATGAAAAATAATAAAACTTCATTTCAGTATAAACACAAGCAAATACTGTATTTCAGCAAAATGATTTTAGAGAGAATGAGTTTTTGAATACTTACCAACAAAAATAATAGCATTAAGCCACCCTTTGTCCTCTGAGGACATTTTGAGGTCTTTTTCTGCTGAGGGCAGCATGAAGGACACAGAGAGGACTTCAATGGCATCACTTGATACAGCCCACCCACAAAGAAAGAGGACCAACCAGTGAAACCTGCCATAGCCTACAGAAAAAAGATCATAATCATGGTAAAGTTGCTAAAAATAAACATAATCAAAGAATTACCTGAGCAATGGTATGAATTTCAGTTCTATGGAAATAGATTATCATGCGGTGTTCCATTTATTTTCTGTTCAATGACCTAGATTTTAAAGTATAATTCAGCATGTAAACCAAGTCTTGGACTTAAGATACATGTACTACATGTACCTTGATGCATCATCTATGAATGCATTTCAGCTTACAGAAACTGTGAATGAATTTCATCCAAATACTTAAGTCTGGTAACTCATTAAAAGTGGGTCAGGTCCAGAATCCAACGCAAGCTTGGTAACTTTCATCTGACCCTGGTAGAGCTTAAATTACCAAATGGAATAAACCTGCTCCAAAACCTTTAACCTGGTCACTCCTCCTAAAAATGTAGTTTAGATCCAGCCTTCTAAACAAGCCTGGTTGTGTGAATCTCTACATGTATTATAAATACAAGCTAAGGCAACTAAGGGCTTTTACAGTCCCTGAAAAGTTCTACTTTCGCACTTGAACGGTGAGCAAATGGTGATAAAACAGTTAGCAAATGCAGAGGCCAGAGGGAATGGTAGGTGAACGATATGCAAATGCTGAACACAACTTTGTGAATGGTTGATGGACGGTAACTGAATGTAAAATGCAAAAAGAGTGCAAACGCGAGCGTCAAGTGAATCTGGAAGGAATGCTGAATGAAAGACGAGCAATTTATTCATAATGCCTTCAATCTTTCCCTTGCATTGTACTTATTCTATTGTGTTATATATTTAAAGCACCAATAAATAATCAGATAAAATTTTACCTGTCTGCTTGATAGCATCTTCATATACAATTTCTTCTGATTCATGTAAAGATTCATCTGAAAAGCAATGAAAAATACAAAGTCAAACTGTGTCAAAAGAGGCAATGTTTAAATGATGTTTGATTTGGATTGCTCATTTGAAAGTCCATAGCAGAAATACTGCAAATGTATTACATTTAGCTGTGTATTCTTTTTAGTGCTTTTTGCAGAAAGTAACTTAAAGCTAATTCAACTACAATGCTAAATGTCTTGCACATCAGAGGCGTAGTCACAAACTTAAAAGTGGGGGGCCCAACTCCAGAAATTCTTTGACAAGCAAAAACAAGAGGCCCATGGGCCACATTGCTCACCTGAGCACTAAGGGTAGGAAAAAGTAGAAAATGGCTTTTTATTGTAAAGTTTAAATCCAAAAGTAGTCCCATGACCAATCATGGATTTGCTATTTTTTAGAAAATGATTTTCAAAGAATTTTCCTATATATTTCTATGTAAAACTTTGGTCGGCCATTTTGGCCCCACCCTACCCCCCGGGGTCATGATTTGAACAAACTTGAATCTACACTACCTGAGCATGCTTCCATATAAATATGATGAATTATGGCTTTGTCATTCTTGAGAAGAAGATTTTTAAAGAATTTTCCTATATATTTCTATGTAAAACTTTGGTCGGCCATTTTGGCCCCGCCCTACCCCCGGGGGTCATGATTTGAACAAACTTTAATCTACACTACCTGAGCTTGCTTCCATATAAATATGAAGAATTATGACTTTGTCATTCTTGAGAAGAAGATTTTTAAAGAATTTTCCTATATATTTCTATGTAAAACTTTGGTCGGCCATTTTGGTCCCACCCTACCCCCCGGGGTCATGATTTGAACAAACTTGAATCTACACTACCTGAGCATGCTTCCATATAAATATGATGAATTATGGCTTTGTCATTCTTGAGAAGAAGATTTTTAAAGAATTTTCCTATATATTTCTATGTAAAACTTTGGTCGGCCATTTTGGCCCCGCCCTACCCAGGGGGTCATGATTTGAACAAACTTTAATCTACACTACCTGAGCTTGCTTCCATATAAATATGAAGAATTATGACTTTGTCATTCTTGAGAAGAAGATTTTTAAAGAATTTTCCTATATATTTCTATGTAAAACTTTGGTCGGCCATTTTGGCCCCATCCTACCCCCGGGGTCATGATTTGAACAAACTTGAATCTACACTACCTGAGCATGCTTCCATATAAATATGATGAATTATGGCTTTGTCATTCTTGAGAAAAAGATTTTTAAAGAATTTTCCAATATATATCTATGTCAAACTTTGGTCGGCCATTTTGGCCCCGCCCTACCCCCGGGGGACATGATTTGAACAAACTTGAATTTACACTACCTGAACATGCTTCCATATAAATATGATGAATTATGGCTTTGTCATTCTTGAGAAAAAGATTTTTAAAGAATTTTCCTATATATTTCTATGTAAAACTTTGGTCGGCCATTTTGGCCCCGCCCTACCCCCCGGGGTCATGATTTGAACAAATTTGAATCTACACTACCTGAATACGCTTCCATAAATATATGATGAATTATGACTTTTTCATTCTTGAGAAGAAGATTTTTAAAGAATTTTCATATATATTTTTATGTAAAACATTGGTCGGCCATTTTGGCCCCGCCCTACCCTCGGGGGTCATGATTTGAACAAACTTGAATCTACACTACCTGAGCATGTTTCCATATAAATATGATGAATTATGACTTTGTCATTCTTGAGAAGAAGATTTTTAAAGAATTTTCCTATATATTTCTATGTAAAACTTTGGTCGGCCATTTTGGCCCCGCCCTTACCCGGGGGGTCATGATTTGAACAAACTTGAATCTACACTACCTGAGCATGCTCCCATATAAATATGATGAATTATGGCTTTGTCATTCTTGAGAAGAAGATTTTTAAAGAATTTTCCTATATATTTCTATGTAAAACTTTGTCGGCCATTTTGGCCCCGCCCTACCCCCGGGGGTCATGATTTGAACAAACTTGAATCTACACTACCTGAGGATGTTTCCCCATAAGTTTCATCTTTCCTGGCACAGTGGTTCTTGAGAAGAAGATTTTTAAAATATACCACTAAATTTTCATTAATTCCCAATTATCTCCCCTTGAATAAGGACGTGGCCCTTCATTTGAACAAACTTGAATCCCCTTCACCCAAGGATACTTTGTGGCAATTTTGGTTGAAATTGGCCCAGCGGTTCTTGAGAAGTCGAAAATGTGAAAAGTTTACAGACAGACAGACAGACGGACAGACGGACGCCGGACAAAATGTGATCAGAAAAGCTCACTTGAGCCTTCGGCTCAGGTGAGCTAAAAATATTCTGCTATGTAATTGAAATGAAACCGTTTTTTGCGTTGGACGTCCAGGTATCAGTCGTCAGATATACGTACAGTATCAACTTAAACTTGATCATTTATCAAGTTCTCCCAACAGACCGGATTTACGATTCTCTTACACTCTTTTGCTCCTAGATTTTATAGTATTACGGGTGGTATTTTGTAGTTTGGCAAGGATGGATATCAGTTTTTTAAAGCCTTTGCCTTCAGCCATTTGTATTGGCATTCAATTAAACACAACCATATCAACAATCGTACGTGTAATATCATCCGTCTCTTTTCCCGAGAATTAACGGCTTCTTGGAGAATTGACAAAATTATCTTATTTATTTAAACATAATAGACCTTAAACGATGTTCAGTAAAAACGAATAATTAAAGCAAACTAAGAATAAGGGTAGAAGACAGTCGAAGGTGATTAAAGCCAGGTAGCAGGTGCTTGGTCACGGTAATTACTGTATAAACACTGCCACAGGCGATAACGGTCATGCATTTAGAGGCATAGGAAACCCTAATTACTGTACGTACAAATGCAATGAGCATTTAACGTTTTAAAACAGATTGTTTAATGCATTAATGAATAAGCTTAAAAATATTCAAAAATATACATCCGAGTAACCGAGTACCGATTTTAGTATTCGATACTCGGACGTTCGATCGAGTACCCGGTTAACCGGGTACTCGTTGACATCCCTAATTTCTATGTAAAACTTGGATTCCCTATTGTGGCCCCGCCCTACCCCCGGGGGTCATGATTTGAACAATTTAATATCTACACTACCCAAGGATGCTTCCACATAAGTTTCAGCTTTCCTGGCCCAGTGGTTCTTGAGAGGAAGATTTTTAAAGAATTGTTCTATATATTTCTATGTAAAACTTGGATTCCCTATTGTGGCCCCGCCCTACCCCCGGGGGTCATGATTTTAACAATTTAATATCTACACTACCCAAGGATGCTTCCATATAAGTTTCAGCTTTCCTGGCCCAGTGGTTCTTGAGAAGAAGATTTTTAAAGATTTGTTCTATATATTTCTATGTAAAACTTGGATTCACTATTGTAGCCATGTCCTACCCCTGGAGGTCATGATATTAACAATTTAATATGTACACTACCCAAGGATGCTTCCATAAAAGTTTCAGCTTTCCTTGCCCAGTATTTCTTGAGAAGAAGATTTTTAAAGATTTGTTCTATATATTTCTATGTAAAACTTGGATTTCCTATTGTGGCCCCGCCCTGCCCTCGAGGGTCATGATTTTAACAATTTAGAATCTACATTATTTCAGGATCCTACCACATAAGTTTCAGCTTTTCTGGACTAGTGGTTTTTGAGAAGAAGATTTTTAAAGTTTTTCACTATATATTTCTATGTAAAACTTTTATTCCCTACTGTGGCCCCGCCCTACCCTGGGGGTCATGATTTTAACAATTTAATATCTACACTACCCCAGGATGCTTCCATAAGATTTTTAGCTTTCCTGGCCCAGTAGTTCTTGAGAAGAAGATTTTTAAAGATTTGTTCTATATATTTCTATGCAAAACTTGGATTCCCAATTGTAGCCATGCCCTACCCCCGGGGGTCATGATATTAACAATTTAATATGTACACTACCCAAGGATGCTTCCATATAAGTTTCAGCTTTCCTGGCCCAGTGGTTCTTGAGAAGAAGATTTTTAGTGACCCCACCCTATTTTTGTCTTTTCTTGATTATCTCCCTTTGTGAGGGGACTTGGCCCTTCATTTTAACAATTTAAACTCCCCTTTCAACTAAGGATGCTTTGTACCAAGTTTGGTTAAAATAGGCCCATTGGTTCTTGAGAAGAAGTCGAAAATGTGAAAAGTTTACAGACGGATGGACAGACGGACGGACGACGGACAAAATGTGATCAGAAAAGCTCACTTGAGCCTTCGGCTCAGGTGAGCTAAAAAGTGGGGGGGCACAGACATACACTTGCCCCCCCAGATCTGAAAGTGGGGGGGGGGGGGGGGCTAGTGCCCCCGTTGCCCCCCCCTGTGACTACGCCTATGCACATGTAGACATAAATAAAAACAAATGGGAATGCACTAAATCAATTCTTCTCTAGCGCACTCAAAAATCCATTTCTGCTAAATATCATACATGCTATTAATTATATACATTTACAGTAATCACGTCCCATGATGATAATTAGACTTTTCAAGTTTTCATCTATTTCTAATAATCTAAGAGCATCTTTATGAACACCAAATATAACTTATTGAAAGTATATGCATGTAGTAATTCAATATATTTCCATTTCTAATTTTTTTCTCTGTGATAACACTTTGAAAGTTAGCGGAGTTGATTTCTTAATGATTCTACCGGAATGTAAATTAGGCAGGTCGATAAGTCAGGAGCTAATGAGGCCTAATATGCATGCAAATCTCGTGCACATCTGTCTCTGTGTCTGACGCTATAGAGGCCAAATATATGCAGGTAAATCTTATGTGCCTGCAATTGTGTTTGATGTCAGTGGACAAGGACTATTGAAATTGGCATGGGAGTCCTCGTGTAATTTAATCTTTGTCTACATTTTTAAAGTCTAAATCTTCAATTTTATTTCACATTGAAACGGAAATATAAGGAGTCACTGTCTAGTCAGTATAGTATGCCAGGGACATCAACGATAGTGCTAAACATGGGATAATTTCTGCATAACGGGCGATGTCCCAAGCATACTATACTAACTAGACAGTGATTCCTTAAATATTATGATGGGCCTGTTGATCTTGATTTAGCAATACAGCATGAAATAACTATATTATACAGTTATTGCATGGGCATAAAGAAAATAGCAAATGGAGAAGCCGCCAACAGAAATAGTTTCCTGTTGAGAGGAACTATAAATTTGATATTTCCCGAGTAGCCATTACTGTTTTACTATACAGAGGCAATTATAGGCGATTTATGTAACCTGATATTCAAACATTTACAAAAAACACTATACATGAGAAATGCATTTAAATAACGACAAATTCCCGTGGTTCAAAAGATTGTGATCATGCAAGAAATTGTGTAGGATCTAATCATCTCTTGCTGTCAACATAATAACAGCTGAAATGGTTAAAACAGCTGTAACAAGAATAGATATGGGTTACCCCATATCCAAAGATATTCGACTGTTAGATTTAATATGTTTAACAGTGTTTATAATGACGTTAATAAAAAAAAACTGCACTGTCTAATTATGGAACTGTTGTAAATATCGTGATTCCATAGCATTACGGTCACCCAGTCTCCTAACAAACAGTACACATAGTCCTACATGTACCTGTAGCCTTGGTCTACACACGTGCAATGGAGCTGTCACACGCATTTTCACGTTTTGTTTTGCCGAGAAGTTACGGTGTTAGACAAAACTTTTCTTTTCTTAATTAGATCATATAAATATTCTGATTAATAAAAATTATACAATCCCTGTTGAACTTTATATAGTTTGTTCTAACATTTGCATCTGCAACAACTTGTGTTTAAAATGGCCGGGTTGGGAAAATCAGGACCGGGTCGGAAAATTCTAAACTGAAAACATGGAAAACCTTTTTTGTTTTGAAAATAACTGAAATATACTAATATATTTGTCGCAGAAATTACTTACATTATTCAAGTTCTATATATAATGGTATGCTGAACTTCAACACGAACCCGAATCTCCAACCCATGCAGTACTCACATACCCTACAGTTTACAAAGTGTACACACGAGCAGGCCAGGGATTGAAAATTCCGTCATTTAATAATACACACACACAGAATAATTAATTTTTTCTTTAAGAACAAATTGTATGATAATTAACGGACTATAAACATGTACTTAATACAATTGTTGATATAGTATTATCAATTCATTGGTGAAAAGATATGAATCGAAGAATGACCTAATTATTCTCTGTTATCAAACACGTAAAAAAAAAAAGGCTGAGGAGGGAGCGAGCGTAGGAATATTGATATTTTTTATTTGCATTTCGGGGGGAAAGTGACTTTCTAATGATATTTTGACGTTATTTTTGATTTCTTTAACGTATGACATACACAACTTTACTCTTATCATGAACAATAATGTTGTAGAGAGATGATGGAATTATTTTGGTCGGACCAATATGTGTGAGCTGCCGCTGAATACAGTTATATATCTTGCAAAGAGAGTATGCATTGATCGAATATATAGAAAAGACACGGAGTGAGCAGTGGTGATGCTCGATAGTTTTCAACATGAACTTTGTTGTATAACATGGAAAAATAAAAATACCATCTGCATTGTTAATCAGCCTTTGATGTTCTTCCATCATGATCAAATGAATGATTTTCAAGTGTGTTTCTACATTTTCACCTGTTTCCCCCGACCTTTGACGTTGATAAACAAGACAATGTTATACAAAGGCTACACAGTTCACTGCACGATATCTTGCAAGAAAACATTTGTGTGACTTAGACATTGACATGGTAGGAAAAATTTTTCCCGAAATACTTCCTTTTAATTTGCGTTAGAGAGAAGAAATCAGGGTCACAATATTTCCTTTACCTATTTACCCTTACCTTTTTTAAAACAATTTGTTTAGTAATGGGCCTAATTGGAACCCAAATGGAAACAAATGAATCCAAATGGAAACACAATGGACCCAAATAGAAATCAAATGGACTCAAATGGAAAAAAAATCAATTTTATATGTATGGACCTACATTTGACTGCTAGATTCATTTTGATTGGCCAATTACCGGTGCAATACCTCTACCCGTTTAGTACTCCTTCCCTCTTGTTCAACCAGGAAATGATGTCAACTTCCGGGAATTTCATTTTGGTACCCCGTAAATCCATCGTACCCGACGTTAATTTATACAGAATAAAAATATGGAAAAACGTAAAAATTTGAAAGGCAACTTATTTTTACTGAAGAATTAGTTTACTAAAATTAATTTTAACTTTCCTTTTCTTTTTTTTTACACAAAGGCTTCTAAATAATATATAGAATATATTAGCTGCTTTTGAACGTACCACTGAAGATGAAGTACGATCACTAATAATGAAGGCACCCAGTAAATCATGCGAACTGGATCCAATTCCAACAAAGCTACTGAAAAAGTGCCTGGATCCGGTAATACCGCTTGTCACAGAAATGGTTAATGCATCTCTCGATCAGGGAATTTTTTCGTCTGCTTGGAAGGAGGCCATAGTTCGTCCACTTCTTAAGAAACCTGGACTAGATAAGGAAGTGTTGAAAAACTATCGGCCCGTATCGAACTTGAGTTTTATCTCAAAAATATTGGAGAAAGTTGTGGCTCGTAGGATTGATGCCCATTTGGATGCGAATTCTCTTCGCGATCCACTTCAGTCGGCATATCGTCCTAGGCACTCCACGGAAACGGCCCTCATCAAGGTCCACAACGATATTGTGACAGCCCTAGACCAACAATCTTCAGCAGTCCTTGTCCTTCTGGATTTATTCGCTGCTTTTGATGTTATTGACCATAATATATTGTTCCAACGCCTTACTGTGTCTTATGGTTTCCGTGATGGAGCTCTTGAGTGGATCAAGTCTTACCTCAAGAACAGAAAACAATGTGTCACAATTGGATCCGTCCGATCAGAGTCTAGACAGCTGCCTTTTGGGGTCCCCCAAGGATCTGTACTCGGACCGAAATTGTATTGCCTCTTCTCCAAACCCATTGGAATCATATGCCACCGCCATGATATATCACTGCTATGCAGATGATACACAAATCTACATGATCATAAGACCACTGGAAAATTGGAACAATTACTTTTCTCGACTTGAAGCGTGTCTTAGTGAAATTGGTTCATGGATGACATCAAACCTACTCAAACTAAACCAAGAAAAGACCGAGCTAATAATCTTCTCCACAAAGCAACACCAGAAGTATCTGCCAACATTACAACTAAAAGTTGGTGATAATATCATTGAAAGCGTGCCATGCGTAAAAAATCTAGGTGCATTTTTCGATCAACACCTTACTATGGAAAAACAGGTATCCTCGGTCGTCAAGTCATGCTATTTTCAAATAAGCAATATTGGACGAATACGGCGCTTTCTAACAAAAGAAGCCTGCAAGACCATGGTGAATGCCGTTATCACTGCCAGGCTGGACTATGGGAACTGCCTTCTATATGGAGTGTCAAAGGCCTTACTAGACCGGATTCAAAAAGTCCAGAACACGGCAGCTCGCTTAGTTACAAGATCATCGAAACGGGAGCATATTACACCTATCCTAGCTGATCTTCATTGGCTACCTGTTTCTTTTCGTCCACAATATAAAATCTTGACATATGTCTACCAATCCTTACACGGGTTGGCTCCATCGTACATCAAAGATCTTATAATGGAATACAAGCCGACCAGATCACTGCGATCTGAGTCAACATCACGGTTAGTTGTTCCTAAGATCAGGACGAAGACATATGGTGAACGTCGACTTGGTTGGGCAGCAGCATTTTTGTGGAACGACCTTCCTAATGATATAAAGCAGGCCCAGTCCCTGGATATTTTCAAAAGACAATTAAAGACGCATTTTTATAGAATAGCTTTTTAAATTTTAGATGCTCAATTTTTAGCAGCAAATCATAAATCACATATGATGTTCTTTTATTGAGTTTTATTGATGGTGTAATTGTATTTTGTATGTAATTTGTAGTATTTTAATGTTATAATTTCCGAGCACATATATGAGTTTGGGTTAATATTTTATATATGTTTTCATAGCTTTTAAATTATGTTTAATTGCCTTTAATTGTACAGCGCTTTAGAGTTAAACTATTAATATTTAGCGCTTTATAAATTCATATATTATTATTATTATTTTATAGAATATATGATCCTAAAAATCATGCTCCCCCCCCCCCCCCCCCCCCCCAAAGGAAAAAAAAGAGGGGCCATAACAGGGTATTATAGTTATACAAAGGAATGCGAGAGCTGTTCAATAAATAATGTCCTGAACTGTATGACATACAATACAGATATCATATGTCTTTAAGCTTGACTTTTTCGCATTATTGAATCTTTAATGAATTTATAACAATTTATGTGACCACTTTTCATCACATAGTTTCATTGTGAGAAGTTGGAAAACAAGGGCTATTCGAGACACTGCATTAAAAATGGTAAAGAATCAGTTAATTAGAGTGATATTAAACGCTTCCTTAAGCTATTGTAAAACTCGTTAAGAATTTCAAAGAAATATTCACTGAAAAATGTAAAATTTACGGCAACCAATGTCTGTTTTATAGACAAATGAGCAGGTGGATTTCAATGATAAAAAATATATAATGGGCATCAAAAATGGGTACCGTCCTTGCCAACAAAAATTATAACAACTTATGTTCTGTTTGCCAAATTTCAACAAATAATCACTGATGATGTATGATTGACTTTAAAACACATAGCAAATTTGATAGACTTCATTTCGGGAGTAGAATAAACGTTCGATAGTAAAAAAGCTTAGTACTCAAAGGTCACCCTATGTTTTGAAAAATTAGTGAAAACGACAGCGTGTCAGAATATCTAAACAATTATTTTAAAATATCAGTAATTGTAGTTATCCACGTTTGTTTGAAATTCAAACAGATAATGAAACTTGAATCTATTGCTTAAAACCCTCGAAACAACGTTTACAATAAGGTGTACTTGACAAAAACAGCAAAGGTCTGAGAAGAGCAAAGAATTGCAAAAGCACAAAGACAGATTTATATGTATGCAATTTTCTTAAATATTAGTGGTCTTGTTGTTCAGATTTGTATTCGGGGAGGCAGTTTAATTTCTGGAAGAGTCTAGAAAGCAAAGTTTTTGGGGAAAAAAATCGAAAGGTTAATGAGAGGAAGGAACCAGAATCAGGAATCCACTACATTAAATTTCTCCATGACAGCGTCCAAACCCGCACGCTCTGAAGACTAAAGGAGTTTTTGGGATAAACAGAAAGTTAATTTTTTTCACATTAACAATATTCGCCAGATCTTTCGCCTTTTGACTTGTTTCATTTTCCAAACGCCTTTCAGAAGGAAGAAACGAGTCCAGGAAATCATAGGATCTGTCATTTTCGAGTATACTAAGGGTCATACCCAAAAATGAGTTCTACAAACAACCAGAAATTGGATAAAAAAAATTACGGACATCTGTTTTAATTGTAAGAGAATATTAGATTAAATAATTTAGACTAAATCATTGAAAAGCGTCTTTTGCCTCTTTCCGAGCACGGAGGACATTATTTATTGAACAGCCCTCGTATATGGAATATGGGTCATTCTCAAAAAATGTCCAGATTTCTGTGAAACACGTTTTCTGGTAAATTTTTTAATAAAATAAAAACTTTTTGTGCTCATGAACTTAACAATGATTTTTTAATAAAATAAAAACTTTTTTGTGCTCATGAAAAGTTTTTGGGGAAAAAAATCGAAAGGTTAATGAGAGGAAGAAACCAGAATCAGGAATCCACTACATTAAATTTCTCCATGACAGCGTCCAAACCCGCACGCTCTGAAGACTAAAGGAGTTTTTGGGATAAACAGAAAGTTAATTTTTTTCACATTAACAATATTCGCCAGATCTTTCGCCTTTTGACTTGTTTCATTTTCCAAACGCCTTTCAGAAGGAAGAAACGAGTCCAGGAAATCATAGGATCTGTCATTTTCGAGTATACTAAGGGTCATACCCAAAAATGAGTTCTACAAACAACCAGAAATTGGATAAAAAAAATTACGGACATCTGTTTTAATTGTAAGAGAATATTAGATTAAATAATTTAGACTAAATCATTGAAAAGCGTCTTTTGCCTCTTTCCGAGCACGGAGGACATTATTTATTGAACAGCCCTCGTATATGGAATATGGGTCATTCTCAAAAAATGTCCAGATTTCTGTGAAACACGTTTTCTGGTAAATTTTTTAATAAAATAAAAACTTTTTGTGCTCATGAACTTAACAATGATTTTTTAATAAAATAAAAACTTTTTTGTGCTCATGAAAAGTTTTTGGGGAAAAAAATCGAAAGGTTAATGAGAGGAAGAAACCAGAATCAGGAATCCACTACATTAAATTTCTCCATGACAGCGTCCAAACCCGCACGCTCTGAAGACTAAAGGAGTTTTTGGGATAAACAGAAAGTTAATTTTTTTCACATTAACAATATTCGCCAGATCTTTCGCCTTTTGACTTGTTTCATTTTCCAAACGCCTTTCAGAAGGAAGAAACGAGTCCAGGAAATCATAGGATCTGTCATTTTCGAGTATACTAAGGGTCATACCCAAAAATGAGTTCTACAAACAACCAGAAATTGGATAAAAAAAATTACGGACATCTGTTTTAATTGTAAGAGAATATTAGATTAAATAATTTAGACTAAA